AGCCTTGTGCAAAAAATGGTCCTAAGTCCCTTTTTTTTCAATGCTGTTATAATTCTGAACAAACCGTTGTAAGTCAGGCATGTAGGAATAAACGAAATTTTGACCCACAATTCCAATTTCAAAGCAATGAAACCCCCTCCCCCAAATTCTGCTGTCCTCAAAGTCAATGTGGTTTCTCCCCCCCTCCCTTTTCACGGTCTGACTGGCCACTGCGAGGCAGATAAAAAGTCACATTTCTGCAAATATGGTGACATTTGCAGCCTGACCTTTCCAGCGGGTGACTTCTCTTGACCTCCATCCAAACGAAGCCTTCAGCCAGTGAAGCAAGAAGCCCAAAAATGTCTTTTTCAGGGATGGCGGGAGAGAGACACAGAGAGAGTTAGAGAGAGTTAGAGAGAGAGAGAGAGAGAGAGAGAGAGAGAGAGAGAGAGAGAGAGAGAGAGAGAGAGAGAGGGAGGGATGGTGGGAGGACCAAAGGGGAGGGTTTGGGGGGTCCTTATTAAAGCCATTTCTCAAGCTGACAGGCAGCCAGAGGGGGGGGGAAGCAGGGAGGAGGAGGAGGAGGAAGAGAGGGAGGAAAGGAAAAGGAGGAGAAGTGAGAAGGAAGAGGAGGAAGAGGGGAAGAGGAGGAGGAAGTGGGGGAAGGAGGGAGGAGGAGGAAGAGGAGGGAGCCCTCCCCCCATCCTCTCTCTGGCCGCCCTTCCTCCGGGTTCAGATGCGAAGCGCTGCCTCTCCATCGATCTCCCTCCTGGCCGCTATGATTGGCTGGGCCATGGGATCCTTTGATCGGACGCCTTCTAATTAAATTGAAATTGACAGAGCCATTCCTGCCATTGACTTCCAGAGCGGGGCTATTTTTAAGAAGGCTGAACGCAGCAGGATTCCCACTCAGCACCTCCTGCTGCCCCTGGAAGAGGGAGAGGAACAAGAAACACCCCCCTCCTCCGGGGGGGGCGCACGCGAAGGCATCAAACTTTTCGGGGGTGCCAATGGAAGGGTTGGGGGGGAGCAGTTTGCTGTCCCAGGAAATTAAAAACAAAAAACAAAAGTTACACACGTGTGTGTGTGTGTGTGTGTGTGTGTGTGAGAGAGAGAGAGAGAGAGAGAGAGAGAGAGAGAGAGAGAGAGAAATCTTTTTCTAAAGCCGGAAGAATCTTATATTTTCCTCCCCCCAACCCAAAAGGAGAGGTGGGGGGGAAATAAAAACTTTTCATTTAATACAGTGACATTCCCAACTCCCAAGTTTATGATTCAATTACGAAAACACACAAGAAGAGAGAGAAAGGCCGGTCCATTTGTTAGGAGCTTTGACAGGTAACTCTGGTTTAAAAATAAAACTGCTGATTTCGGCTCTCTGGGCCCCTTCCCTTTGCCTCGATCGGAGATTCTGGGATCCAGCCAAGCCTCACGTCCAAAATCCCGGAGGATTTGGGAAGCCCCGAAGGGAAACTGGATTCCCTCTTGAACGCGGTCAGAAGGCCGTCAGAATTTCAGATGTTGGGGAAGGGGCTGGGATGCTCTCCGCAGAATTGCCCACGGCCTCATCTCTGACGCAAGGACACAAATGCAATAAATTCATTTTCGGATTCAACGTAGAATCACAGGGCTAGGAGGGACCTTGGAGGTCTTCTAGTCCAACCCCCTGCCCAAGCCAGAGACCCTTTTCTATGCTGGGCAAAATGGCTGTCCAGTCTCTTTTGGAAGACCTCCAGTAATGGAGCACCCACAATTTCTGGAGCAAAGCTCTTCCTTCCTTCCTTCCTTCCTTCCTTCCTTCCTTCCTTCCTTCCTTCCTTCCTCCCAGTATCCTTCCCTCCTTCTGTCTGTCTGTCTGTCTGTCTGTCTATCTATCTATCTAGATCCATCCATCCATCCATCCATCCAATTATCCTCTCAGAATCATAGAATCCTATGGCTGGAAGGGACCTCAGGGGTCTTTTAATCCAATCCCCTGCTCAAGGGCAGAGGATCTTATACTATCCCAGTCAAATGCTCGTTCAGTCTATTTTTGAAAACTTCCAGTGATGGAGCACCCACAATTTCCACAGCCGAGGTTTGGGACCCTAAAAAAAAATGCTTTAAAAGTTTATAATTATCAAATTATTAAATATTAAAAAGTTCGGTGAATAACAGCAATGCAATTATTTATCCTCCCCCTAGCATTTTGCAAGATAAGAAGCCTCACAGTGGAGTAGTTCAAAAGTTCAATAGATCTATACTTTATCTGCAAGTTTTCAGATCATTTTTTAACTGAAGCCCAATAAATCTCGGGTCTGAATTATTGATTGTGCTTTAGATTGGTCGGTAATTTATCTGGGCCTTGACACAGTAGATTTCCAGAAACGCTGGCGTATCAATTGATTTGTGCAATGTATTATAATAATAATATTTTAGCATTTTATACAGCAAGTTTTGTCTTCAAGGACAAGGAACTCACACGTCCCCTTGCTTACAAGAAGTAAGCAGGTTTAAACCAATTTATTTCCTCCCACGCTTCTCCCGATTTCTACTTCTCGTTAATACAGGACAATTTAGACAACAGGTTTTGTCCACACACGAGCAGATAAAGTCCCTTACTCAGAGCTAGACCGCTCCAAGCAAATTAACTAACTCATATTTCCATCCTAACCAGCATCCATTCTCACAGAGACTGGAGATCTTTTCAACCTGGAAATTCAAAATTTTTCCTTTCATGCAAACAGTCTCTCTGTTTTTCTATTTTCAGCACTTGGAGAGCATGACAGTCAAGGGAAGCTAGACTGAGTTCGTTGGTGGCTACCTTGGGATACTAGGCTGATTCCTCTTTTGACTCCCTCCTCTCCAGGTTCTGCCATTCCTTCTCCTATTATCTCATACAACGGACAATCCTGGAATGGAATTCGCACCTCCCGTGGTCTCTCTGTATAAGTGGGGCGTAGTATCCTCCCCTCAGTGTGACTGTGGGGTCCCACGTCAAACCGTGGACCGCACCGTGATATAAGCCGAGGGCATATACAGGTCCAGTATCTTGATTTTTTAAAAAAAAATATAAACAATGCTGAGCTTCAACATAACTTGGACATTTGAACACAGATCTTTTTAATGTTGACATGTTATTGGGTTCTACCAATCTAGTTGAAATGTTAATTTATATTACTAGTCCATGTGTGTAATGCTGTACGCTAATTAATTAAATAAATCTCCTCCACCTCCATGTTCTCCAATATGAATTGACGTGATCTGATCGGCGTTAATCACGCCAACGGGGGTCCTACACCCTCCAGAACGCCAAGGTCTCGCAAATACTGGGGCCGAGAGCTCCCAAAAGGCTGGATTTGGCGGAGGATTTCACCCCCCCCAAAGGCGTACAAAATGCAAAGCACGCTGGTGGTGCTCGCCTTCTCTCAGCCAGGCATCTTGACAAAACAACGCACAACCTACAAGGGCCCCAAAGGGGAAATTAAGGCAGCGTGAAATTCCCTCCATCAGCTCAACTAGGATTGCTGCTTGGATCCTACGTTCGGAGAAATTGTTCCCGTCTCCTACACAACCGTCCTACGTCGCCATTATATAATATTAGAGATGAAGGAACGCCAGTTCTTGCTTGGTTGGGTTTTAAAAGTAAGCTTCTTAGCGTTGCAAGCCATCATGAAGTGCAGACTTAAGCATGCTGGCTAAAGAGATGTGTGTGTGTGTGTGTGTGTGTGTGTGTGTGTGTGTGTGTGTAGATAGATGGATGATAGATAGATAAATAGATAGCTCTATCTCTATATCTATTATCAATCCATCCATCTTTCCAGCCAGCCAGCCAGGCAGCTTCTATCTATCTATCTATCTATCTATCTATCTATCTATCTATCTATCTATCTATCTATCTATCTATCTATCTATCATAGGATAGGCAGTCCTATTTATTCAGGTGACATTATAGTTTTATGAATTCTGAAAGGCACGTCTCTAGAAGCATCTGAATTTATGAGCTAACGGCGCCACCGCAACGGGCAGAAGCTACTCTCAAAATGCCTGTGTTGCACCAACTGCGAGTAGCCCAAACCACTTGTCCGGCCACCCAGAGGACGCACGGAGCACAGCTCCCGCTGACCATTAGTTATCTCCTAAGGGCTGCCTTCAAAATGCTCTCTCATTTAGGCTACCCCCCTATTATAATGCTGCATTAGTGAAGAAAATTGGGGTTTTTTTGGTCTCCTTCGTGTTGATACTCAAGGCAAAAGGCTCTGGGTTTATTAGCCGAATGAATCTTGCTCTTATGACATTTTAAACCTTACAGCTATGGACTCGCTGGGTCCTTTTTGGTGCAAACGAGAACGATCGTGCCGTGACTTGGCACGCGACACAAACCCACAACTCCCAAGCTCTCTTCCCAATTTCGCCACCAGCTCCCAGGGACAGCAGCTCATTATATATCTAACAGCAGCCACAAATGGTCAGAGCTAGCAAAGAGATCGCTCGCCCTTACTGTACCAGTTGCACTGAAGATCTGGGGAGGGGGGAATACAGACAGAATAACAGAATCACAGAGTTGGAAGGGACCTTGGAAGTCTTCTAGTCCAGCCCCCTGCCCAAGCAGGAACCCCTATATCATTTCAGACAAAGGGTTGTCCAATCGTGTCTGAAATGGTTAGGGTTAGGGTATATCTTGTCTGAAATAGTATTGGGTCTCCTGCTAGAGCAGGGAGTTGGACTAGAAGACCTCCAAGATCCCTTTCAATTCTATTTCTATTTACTTCTAGTTCTACTCTACTTTCTCTAATTCTATTCTATTCTATTTTCTAATTCTATTCTACTCTATTCTATTCTTTATTTCTATTCTATTCTATCTTTTATTTCTATTCTATTCTGCATTTCTATATTTCTATTCCATTTTGTATTTTATTCTGCATTTCTATTCTATATTTCCATTCCATACCATTCCATTCTAAAGTTATGCAAAGGGTAGGGGGATAGGCTTGTATTAATTGCCACTGTGTTTGTGCTTCAGTAGCCAGGCTCCCTCCACATACCTTTTCAAAGCCTTCAACACAACATTGCGGTTCTCAGTTGTCTACAAACGTACATGCACTTATTGCGGCTAAGAATGGGTCGAAGATCCCATCATCTACCAAAACGGACGACTCGGCTGCTTCCAAGCGTTTGGAAATACTCAAAAATCTGCTGCAAACTTTCAAAGAATTCTTAGCTGGGGGAAAGAAAAAAAAAAAGATCTACTTTTACCGCCTTCCATTATTGATTTCGCTCGCCTTCCCACACAGTTATTTGAAGGTGGATGGATGAGACTTAGAGACAATCTGCGTTTATTTTTTACAGGAAAGCTTTTAATGCTGTCGTGTTAGCAACAACTTAGAAAAAAGAAAAAAAAACACTTTTAAAAGCTCCACCGAAGCATCCTAACTGCTGTTGCGTGTAACTCTTTAAGGGCCAGCGTGCTCAGAATCAAACTTAGCCAGAAGCTTTTACCATTATTAACATACAATCGAGTTTGTTTTAAATGTTTAAAAAACCCACTAATTTCTACCTTGAAACACTCAAGTGTTTGACAAAGGCTAGGAAAGGAACAAAAAAACCCACCAAGTTCAAAAACCGGCCAGAACTTTTCAGCAACACCTTGTCTTATTTTCTATTTAAATCTCAGCAGGATGAAACTCTTCTCCTTCTGAGAACTTCCAAAAACTCAAGCGTTCGACCCAAACTGTCATTTAGGATCATAATCAACTCCCCCCCCCCCCACAGACACTCAAAACAAAACAAAAAAAGCCCATCAAGAGCAGCTCCAAACGGCCGGAAGTTGATTTCAGTGTTCATTTAGCAGCTTCAGCTGTGTGCAATTATAACTTTGATATTAAATGTTAGAGGATAAAATAATGAGGCACTTAAAAAGTAATCTGTGCTCCACCGGGTTGTGTTCGGCAGAGATTCGGCCAGATAATTTGTTACGGCAAAATTAGGCTTTCTATTAAAGTCACGGCCGCAGTCCTCACTTAGCGGACGCCTTCGGAAGTGTCAACGGCTTTGTCCTCAAAATGGGGCAGCTTCGCAGACCGATAAAGACCCAGTCGGGTATCCTAAAACACAAGGGTGTCCCCCAGGCTGTGATTTTCAAAAAAAAAACCACAACAGGTTTCTTAGCTCTCAACTTCACAAAAAACAATGATTTTTGTCGTTTCTATTGCTTAGAGTGTTGTTTCCTCAACTGTGGCAATAATAACAGAGTAACAGGGTTGAGAGGGACCTTGGAGGTCTTCTAGTCCAGCCCCCTGCTCAAGCAGAAGACCCTAAACCATTCCAGACAGATGGTTCTCCAGTCTCTTCCCAAAAACCTCCAGTGTTGGAGCACCCACAACCTCTGAAGGCCAGCCGTTCAACCGATTAATTGATCTGGGATTACAGAGTAACAAAATTGGAAGGGACCTTGGAGGTCCTCTATTCCAACCCGCTGCTCGAGCAGGAGATCCTAGACCGTTCCAGACAGGTGGTTGTCCAATCTCTGAATTGTTCCCTTGACAGACTGTCTCCCTTAGCAAGAAAAAATGGGGGGTGGGGTGTTAATTGTGGCTGTAACTTGAGGACTCCCTGTATATCCTCTACTCATTCACAAAATTCACTTTGATCAAATCTCGCTGTTCTGCCTTGAAACCACCCCGAAGCTTTTGATAGGGGCTTTGCTCGAGAGCCTGAACGTGTGCGTGTGCGCGCATGGCACGTCAGGAAAGTAGGGCACGGCTGTGCCACATGGCCTGGGATGAGCCCACAGGAAGCCCCTCTCTCTGGCCCGGAGGCTGTTCCTCTCCTGCCAAGGAAGAAAGCGTGGGTGGAGGACAGATTGCTTCGTCCCCATTTTTGGCAGCTCGCTGCAGTTCTGCGCGAGGCTGGGGGGGGGGAAGGAACCCCCTTTTTTCCAGGAGGAAGCACTGATGTATTTTAAAAGACCTGTGGGAAGCTGGGAATTCAGTTTGGCAAGATGGAAGATGCCGTGTGTGTGTGTGTGTGTGTGTGTGTGTGTGTGTGTGTGTGTGTGTGTTTTCTTTTTTTACTGACTTCATTCTTGGTCTGCGCATGGAGGGGTGATGCCGGGGTAGAGACAAGGCAAACCCAGCTTGGTCCTCGATTTACAACGGATCATTTAAGTGGCCGAAGTTTCAAGGGCACTGAAAAAAGGTGACTTAAGGACCGGTTTTCACATTACGACTGTCAAGGCCCTTGGCCAGGGGATCAAAATTCTGACACTTGGCAGCTGACTCGTGTTTATGACGGTGGGGGTCCCCATTTAAGACCCTCTGATGAGGAAAGGAAGGCAGATTCAATTAACAAGCAGGCTACTAACTTAAGAACTGCAGTCATTTGCTTTCCAAGGGTGGCAAAAGGTTGTAAAAAGTCACCTAACAAATGTTTCACTTAGCAACAAAAATGTTGCTACTACCGGTATTCTATTAAACAAGCATGGGTTTTTTTTTTTTGTATCTGGAATTCACTATTTTTCGAGACAGTCCAACGAAAGGGGAGACTAATTAAAGGAAGAGCACGTTTTCACACAATATTTTACTGAAATTCAACTTGCAGAGGAGCGTGACATCAATAACGAAGCTACTGGAAGTAGAAATGATGTGTCAAAACACAGACCTGGTTGGCTGTTTTGGGCTCAGTTATGACTGCTAGAACATAATTAGGATAAGGGTTAAAAAACAAAAAAAAGAAAATAAAGATTATTTAAGTATAAAGCTTGCACTCTTTTAATAAAGTGACTGTTAGTTTATAAAATGTTTTGAAAACATATGGCTAGAAAAGAAAAATAACACAACAGATAAAAACTTGAACATTGTTAAACATCAAAGTAAAAACAAAGGAGAACTTTTATATTTTTAAAACTGAAATGAATTTTAATTAAAAAAATGAGACTAACAATTTACAACATTTACAGGCAAACAAGAGTATTTTTTCTATTTAGGGAAGTCAAAGAATGTTACAGTTTAAGAAGGTGAAATGTTACAAGCTTACACACCAAAATAAATTAAAAAAAATGAAAATTAAATTAAAAATGAAATGGTTACCAAGATAATGCAGGTCAGGGGATCAAAGGTGAAGGGTCACACATTATTAAAAAGAAATCCAAAATGGCAGCTGCATCAAGATCTCTGCAAAACAAAGGAGCTACAATGAGTAAAAAACTAAACAACTTGCACAGATTCAAATTCACTGCAAAATGAATCTAACACAATGCAATAAATTAACAGATATCAGCACATTCAATCACGTTCCACTTCCATAATCAGCAACTTAAGAAAAAAATGATGTAGAAAAGCTAATGGGGGGAAATGGTGAGAAAAATATACAGAAAATGATTTTGCTTTATTTTGAATTAAAACTCTTGAATAATAATAATAATAATAATGCAATGCAGTCCAATTGGAACATGGCTCAAAATACTCAGCTTTTTAAATTAAATTTTACATTTTAACCCTGCTGAAAAATAAACACCGGTAAACCATGTACAGGTAAAGTCCTCAATTTACGAATCAAATTTCCGCTGCTAAGCGAGACACGTGTTAAGTGATTTTTGTCCCATTTTTACGACCTTCCTGGCATAGTCGTTAAGGGAATCACTGCAGTGGTTAAGTTAGTGACATGGTCGTTAAATGAACCGGCTTCCCCCATTGACTTTGCTGGTCACAAGGTCGCACAAAGGGGACTCCAGGACCGTTGTAAATATGAGTCAGTTGCCAAGTGTCTGAATTTTGATCCCGCTGCAATGGTCGTAAGGGTGAAGAATGGTCGTTAAGTCGCATTTTAAGTGCCGTTGTAACTTTACACGGTCACTAAATGAACTGTTGTAAGTCGAGGACTGCCTGTGTTTAGAATTTGGGCCCAGCCATCACCAACACGGAGCAATTTGTCTTTGCTTCATAAACAATGATACACAAATCATTCAGATCTACAAAATAAACCAGAAATAAGCTAACTAGGTTGTGGCTTAACGCCCGGTGCGAATTCAGTCCCGCTGGCTGGACTGGTTTTTTCCCCTTTAAAAAGAAATCGAGTATCCAGCAGTTATTTGATCCGGCTGCTTTCAATACAGCCAACGTTATCAATGCCAACATAAATTATAAATTAGTGCTTAAGCACCAATTTAACTCTACAATAAAATGGTCTTTAAAAATTGTGATCACTATTAAAGGATCTTAAGTGATTGAGAAGTGGCTGCCGAAGAAGAGCTGCTTGTGCGTCTCGCAGGAGACTGGAAAGGTCTGGACTTTGAAACATTTTGCTCGCTCTTTCCCCACTTGCTGTGGTTGTTTCTGCTCCAGAAAAGCCAAGTCTTAGGAGTCATGTCTCAGACTGGAGGAGAGGGGAAAAAAGCAGCGAAACCAGGATGATAAACCACAGTTGGGTACGTCGCCCCCCTCAAATGGGAGAGAATAGGCCTCCTTGCAAGGAGAGGCCATTGATGCAAGGAGGAAAAGAGCCCCTCCCTCCCCCCCTTCTAATCATGGATGGATTATTAGCCATTGTTACTCCGCTTCTACGTTTCTTGTGGCAATTACTAGATCAGCTCTCTTTCTTTTTAAAGAAATAAAAAATAAAATAAAATAAATCCCGGTACTCTCCTTCGCCTTCTCTCGATCCCAGTAGCGTCTTTCAAAGGGTCCCGGGGCCACCCCCCACCCACAGCCCTGCTCTTCCCTTAATTCAGATTCGGGGCAGGTCGTTTGGCAGCGCCGCTCCCCCCCCCACCAACCCACCGGAAAGAAAATGGGCTAATTTCTTGGAAATGCTCTCCAGTGAGATGGGGAGGAGGGGGAGGGCAGGCTTCCCCCCTCCCCTTTCTGACAAGCCCCCCCCACCCCCGGAAGAGGCATTTAAACCCTCCATCCTTTCATTTCTGTTAAAAAAAAAAAAAGCCAACAAAAAAAGCCCTCGTCTCATATTGCAGCTGTCGTGTGGCTGGGAGGCAGGCGAGCCATTTTAAACGCTACAGAAAGGAAGAATCGATGTCCCATCATCATCATCATCATCATCATCATCATCATCGCTGTCAGGGCGAGCGGCCCGCAATCTTTCAAGAGCCAGGAAAGGAGAGAAGCAAGTCAGGCTGTGGGTCCAGACCACAAGCTGTGTCACCTTGGCCAGGCTGGTGGAGGGGGGGGGGGGAAAGCATCAAACGCCCCATATTGTCTCCCTGGACAACTCTCCGTGCCGTTGGAAAGGCAGCATATTAATCACAGGCAGTCCTCGACTTACAACCGCAATGCAGCCCCAGTTGTTACGTTAATCACACGGACATTGTAGTTCAACTTCCAAAGTCCTTTCCAACATCCTCCTCAACATCCTCCTCATCATTAACTCTCAGCTCAAGCAGGAGACCCTCTGCCTCTTGAAGACCTCCAGTGTTGGGAGGACCCACAACTTTTGGAGAAAAACCCTTCCTTCCACTGGTCAATTATTCTGACTATCAGGAAGATATTCCTCCTTAGTTCCAGGTTGCTTCTCTCCTTGGTCAGTTTCCATCCGTTGCTTCTTGTCCTGCCTTCAGGGCCTTTGGAGGAGAGGTTGACCCCCCTCTTCCCTGTGAGAACCCCTCAAATATTGGAAGAGAGCCATCATGTCACCCCAGACCTTCTCTTCATTAAACTGGACATACCCAATTCCAGCAATCCATCTTTACCTGTACTTTGGCAAAACTTGGAACGTGACGGCACCAAGTAGGACACGGTTCTCGTCACTGTGAGACTGATCATCCTAGATTGTTACAGTCTCTAATACTCAAAAGAGCCAGCATGGTGTGGATGTAAAGGCTCTGGACCAGCAGTGGGAAACCTGAGTTCTAATCTTCCCTTAGCTATGGAAGCCAACCGCGTGACCTTGGGCAAGCCATTCCTTCTCGGCCCAAACCAGCGTCGGGCTTTCTGACAAGCTGGCTGGAAAAACAGAAGACCCCCGTCACATCCTGGTTAGACAAGCTTTGCTGTTAAGAACAAGGTGAATGCAGCCGGAAGCGAGTGAACCCTGCAATTAGGCAGGACAAAGGCAGAATATTCAGATTTACAGGAAAGGAGGGAAGGGGAGAAGCGTGTTTGTAAACCTGCGCTGAAAACATGAAGTCCTCTACATGCAAGCTACGGCTTTTGACATTAATTACAGCCTTCTCTTCTGCACGCTTTCAGATTGGATTTTGCTAGGAAAGTTCTGTAATCCTATTGATTTCGCTTGTTTAGATGTTATTTTTACAGTCTTGTGGCTCTGCTGGTTTTAAATTATTTCGTGCCCGCCGGCATGCTTTTTTACTCTAGCTTCGGTTTTTCTTCCTACGATTGTATACTACTGCTTTTTTTTCTGTTTGTTTATAAACATATTGTTCCTGAAACCATCTTCCAGCCGGCAATTGTGGTCCAGCTCAGGGAAGACGCCACCCTAGGAGGCATTGGCCTTAAAAGGCGGCTTATCAATATTTGAAGAAAGAGGATGGCTACTGGAAGACAAGACTGTCTCAAAGATGTATATGAATTGGGCTTGGCTCAAAAGGAAGACGGCAAGGGCTTTTATAGGATGATGCTCTTACAAATGGAAGTTGAATAATCAAGCCATCCTCTATAAATAGCTTCAGGGAAGACAGCCAGGTTCATCAGCAGGCACAGGGAACAGCCTCAAACCGACATGGATCTCTTGGTCAGACGTGGCTTATCGCCACAGTTGGGACAGAATTCCCATCTAACTGAGTCACTGCAGTTGTCCCCCAAACGCTGCAACCGTCATAAATATATCCCAGTTATCAAGCAGCCAAATTTTGAGCACAGGACTGCTGTGGCGGTCGTAAGTGCGAGAACGGCCACAAGTCACTTCTCCCGTGCTGTTGCAAACTTCGAACGGCCGCTAAACAATGGCTGTAACTCAAGGACCACCTATGGCCTAAGCTTGTCCTGTTACTGACATAAAAAACCCAAAATCTCATTTTATAGAAGTTCATAAAAACTTTTGATTTTCCTCCATTTTATCTAGTGGTTCCTTGTGGGATCATCACACTAGATTTGGGTGTTGCTGCTTGACCTTCTCTGTTCTGAATGGACACAGCTGGGACAAACTCAGAGTTGTATTCCTTAACATACAGGTAGTCCTCGGCTTACGACCATAACCAAGCCCAAAATGTCCATTGCTAAGCAAGACAGTTGTTAAGTGAGTTATAAGTTGAGGACTACTAAATTTTTGCAAAATATTGCATTTCCTCTCTTCTGTTTCCACTCCCCCTCCCAAATGTTTATCTCACAGATATCCTAATATAGGGAGAAAAATAAGTTTTGGATACCTTGTTGCCTCGTTCTGTTACTTTTATATCTAAGGTAGCAATTATTTTCCATCGCAAGGAACGTCAGTGCTTGATTCATAAAAAAAATTCCTCAGGTTCAAATATTAACTGCAACGGCCCCTGCCTCTCTTCCTCCAGCAAATATCTCCAAAAATGCCAGCGGAAAGATTTTTTTTTTAAAAAAGCCAACCCACAAATTGGCAAAGACACAACGTTAAGCTCTGTTTTACCCAAATGTTTATCCTGGCTTTCTGCAAGGCAGAAACAGCAATTAGCTACTCCTGCAATCTGAAAAGGGTTCCTCCTGTGAAAATCAGCATTCAAGGGAGTGGAAAAAAGGAAGGAAAAAAAAAATGTAGTAAGAGGTTCTTGATCCTTTAACCAGGATTTGTACTGTGTCCCCCCCCCCCCCAAAGTCATCGGAAATGCTCTCACATCGCTAAACGAGGCGCGGAGATAAACTGGCTCACTTATCAAAGGGATGGGGAAGAAAGAGTATCAGGGTTCCTGAGTTGTTTTTTTCTCCCTTTCTTTATGGTCTTTCAAAGGCATCATATGAGAGAGAGAGAGAGAGAGAGAGAGAGAGAGAGAAAGAGAGAGAGAGAGAAAGAAAGAGAGAGAGAGAGAGAAAGAGAGAGAGAGAGAGAGAGAGAGAGAAAGAGAGAGAGAGAGAGAGAGAGAGAGAGAGAGAACAGTACAAAGGAAAAGAGCCCATCAAAGGAGAGCTGGTAATTGATTTCTGAAAAGAAAAGCTGATTCTAAATATACTCGCCAGTACAGAAAGAAAGCAGAAAATAAGTGGTTCCTGCCAGGAGATGTGTATGTGTGTACACACACAC